GTATTTGTTAATAGGCATTCAGCTTTTATATATTAATAAATTCAAAAATATGCGTATGAACTAAATATCTTTTTAAAATTAGTAAAAATTACAAAATATATTAGGTAGGTGTATATAGGTAGCTAGGTATATAAAATAAATATAGAGTCTTTATAGACATTAGTATACCTACATGAATTATTTCTAGATAATAGGTTGCCTATATAATATATAGCATATAAGGTAACCTTACCAGACCTATATATAAATTGCTCATAATATTATCTGCCCCTGTGTGTATTAAACTCAACTCTTTTTTATATAGAGTTCATTCCACCCATCTCTTTACCAGTCTTAAAAAAAAGTATTCAGAGTATGTATTCGAATTCTTTATGATAATAATATTCCTAAGTATTTGGAATACTTTTTGTAAAGTATTCCAAATATTTTTCGATTACTTTTTTTTAGTTGATTTAGATTTCAATATCAAAAATATTATTTTTTTTAATTCTTTGTTTATAAATGAACATTATTATAATCTCGATAATACACACCTATCTGGCTATCTATTAGTTATAAATTATATTCAAATTAATATAGTTAATAACTAATAAGTAATAATTAGTAATATATTAGAGTATACCTATATAAAAAAAAAATAAGTATTCCGAATACTCGTAAAAAGTATTCAAAATACCGTATTGAATACTTTCAAAAAAAAAGTATTTTAAAAATATTCCGAATACTGTATTCGGAATACTACCCAAGACTGTGACAATCGGTCAGCTTCACGAACCGGTCCGGAGCGACCAGAGGATGCCGCGCTGAAATCAATCCAAGTTATATATGTAAGTCTTGTTGTATTGTTTTTGTCGTTAGTGGTAACTCTTTAGCGCAAGTGATAGGTACTGCTAATCTATGGTTAATTTTGAATTTTTCATGATCACATCTGTATCACCACCTAGGTACCTATTAATCGATTTATTATCATTGACCTCTGTAATTTATTATATTTGGTAGTAGTTCTTACGGTGCCCACTCATAGGTACCATTAATTTTTTTATTGTATACTATAATATTATGTAACTATATATATATAAAGGTATACAGTTAGGTAACCATATTCCAGCCCCTCCACCCTACAGAATATTCTGGTAGTCTCCGCTAATCGAAAATACAAACATAGACCCAGTAAAAAATACAGCACGTATAATATAGGTACGTGTATACTAAGGATAATGTTGGTGTATATATATATACGTAATTAATATTCGTATAATATATGTTAATACAGCTAATTATATATTATTTTATATTTTTCACAAACTTCAGTTCATGTTTCCTGAAGAATCACTAAAACTGATAAAAACTTATACGAGTTACTCGCTAAAGCAGGCTCCTAAGAGGAAATCCTAATAATATGATTATTGATTTATATTTATATTAAAACATGATTTTTGTGATTATATAAATACTAATATATTATATATAACTAAAATTAATAAACTACTATTATAGTATACTCTTGTATAAATAAAAAATGCATATTCTACATTTTCTACTGACACCTTTCTGGATCCATATAAACGTTACTTAAATTTTGAATTTTAATCCATGTAAATTGTAATATTAAAAAACAAGGGCAAGTGGGTGTCGCTCTGCTGTACAGTAGGTTACAAATGGGTCACTGTATAATGGATGATATTAAATTTGAATTAAACGATATATTATCATTGTATAAGAAAAACGATTCTGAGCGGAGACAGTATGTCAGTCTAGATATAAGACATATTATATACATATCTATGATATTAAACAAAAAATTTACCTATAATAAATTCCAAATTAATCATATCACAATATCCATTAGGTACTTATAACGCGTTTTACATTAATAAAAACCGTGATACTATTATAAATATAATATATAATAGTACACTTTAGAAGTTTCAAGTACCTAGGAATAATATTATTCAATCACAACAAAATAACTAAAATAGTTATTCTAGGTTTTTAATATGTAATTTCCTCGAAATTTGAATTTAAAATGTCTGTAAACAAAAACTGCGTTCATATATTTTTTAGATTTTTTGGTTACAGAATGAACTATTTATGAGAACCTTTGCCTCTATTGAACCTCTAAAAATTTTTAAATTTGCAATCCTTAGCTATAAAAACTGAACATTTTATAATTTATTAATTACAATGATTGATCATTTTCGATTAATTTTGATACATTTTTTCAAAATTCGATCTTTAAATGCTTATAAAAAAAAAATTGTGCCAATGTATTTTTAATATTTTTGAACTGATATTGTAACAATATATCAGAAGTCTTGCATTACATTTTTACACTTTTTGGCCCAACAGATAAAACCTTTATTGATATTTATAGAAAAAAAAACTAAAAAAATTGAAAACTGAAAATGTCTGTAAACAGCTCAAAAGAGTCAAAATATTTTAAAAATTTTATGGTGTATAGAAAATGCTAATTTAAACATTCAGTGAAATTTTCATGTATCTACAGTTGTTCGTTTTTGAATTACAACAAAGTAAGGAAATCGCTACATGAGAAGTCGAGTAAATATCCAACGTTGTAAAAATTTGAATTTCAAACGTTCATAAAAATTTAATTTGACTTTCTTATAGACATTTTTTTTTTGATAAAGGTATATAATCTTATAAGGTATTTTTAATATTTTTCATCTGCCTTTGAAACAATATTCTAGGAGCCCTCTATTAAATTTTCAAATAAAATTGTATTGATATTTATAGAATAAAAAACTAAATAAATTGGAAACTGAAAATGTCCCTAAACAGCTCAAAATAAGTCAAAATATTTTTTAAAAAAAAGGCATGGTGTATAGAAAATGCTGATATTAACGGCCAGTAAAAATTGCATGTATCTAATGTCATTGGTTTTAGAGTTACACAAAAAACCAAAATCGATTTTCTCGAAAACAGATATTGCGTAAAAATTCACGTTTTTCCTTAATTTTTCTATAAAATATAGGTATAAATTAAAACAACTATTGCAATATTAGAGAGCACGTATGTATTATGCCAATATTGATATTGTAGGTAATAATCAGGGCCGTATTTAAGATTTTTCCGCCCGAGGTCCGTGGGCAACTACACTTTGCTTATAGTGAATAATTGAATTATTTTTTAATTTTTTACCAATCTTAAATCAAATTATTTGATTTTGCCTTGAAAAAATGATTCTAGAAAATATCACAACTCATGAAGTGAACATAATAAATACGATTTTTTATGAACAATTTTTTTTGTCCTACGAAGTTAAATTAATTAATTTAGTACTGCTAGGTATGAAATTGGAGTTTGTAAAAATACTAAAGGTTATACAACACAGTACTTTAACAAGGTCTCATCTCTAATATAATAGGGAAGGAAACTGGGAAACATAAATATAAATATTTAAATACAATGTCATATTTTTCATATTTCTTCACATTTCACAAATTATTTATAGAATTTAAAATATTGCGTAGTTATTTTATTTTTTTAAATTTTTGGTGATTTTACTAATAAATTAATCCGTATAATATTTATATCACGACTGTGAAGCTATTACAATCGACCACCACTATAGAGAGTCGAAAACAATTTGCATACATTGACGAATACAAATAAAACTAACCCTCCGCTCGGAATCTAAAAAATATGAGAATAAGAGAGGTCTAAACATATATGGTGAAATGAAACAGAAAAAATATTACCTCAGAGATTCAGAGGTAAACACTAAATATAAATATAATGTTTTGATCAGTCAGTGATATTAAACGACACAATATCATCAAAATATAATCGGTGTAACTGTATAATGTATAGGTAGGTAACTAAAATTCGAACAATTCGTATCAAGACATTAGACAGTATTTATCATAAATATTTAATTTATTAATTTAGAATTCTCAATATTATTATTTATTTATTTATTACTTAATTATTATTATGGAACGAGACTAGACCAATACAAAATTATGATATAGATTATGCGTTTTATATAGTCACGATTATAAAATAATACTAGTATATAATAATACAAGTTCTCACAGAAGTTTAGAAAATATCTGCCAGTCTGCCATCACCTCTAATATTATTAGGTTTGAGAGTCGCCAATGTACCTACATTATAATTTCTAATATATATAAATATATTGCATCTATATTATTATCATACATGGTACAATTAGGTATATAATATATATATGTATACTATAAAATCGCTGAAATTCTAATAACATAATATTATGTCCATAATATACAGTATGTTTCCTTTTAAAGGTAAAACTAAATAATTCTGTCCAGTGACATCGGATTAATATGCGGTTTTCAGGAGGGGATAGGGAATACATAAATACACATTTCTTAATGATTTTTACATTTTTAGATCTTTCCGTGTGCGCATGCGCAATACAACTTGCATTTTTTCAAATGGCAACAGGTGTTTTGAATAACAAATTCGGATAGACCGAATTTTTTTAAGTCGATTTGGTCCTTTTTACCATAGCTCTAAAATCAAAATTGACAAATGGCAACCAGTCAAAGTTTCGGTTAAAATTATTGAATTTTTCACCAATCATACTAGAATTTTATGAATTATTATGAAATTTTATTTATTATTTTTGTATCCGTAGGTTTGCAGATATTATTAAATCATTTAAATTTAATTTTGAGGAATTAATTAACCTCACAAAGTAAATCTATCCAAATAAATAATAGAAATGACTGAAATTGTAAAAAAATTGTGTTAATTAGTTTAATCTTTTCTTACTTAGTAATTGAACCAGTGCCGCAACTACCGGGGGTGCAGGGGGTGCATTGCACCCCTAGTAGAGAATTTAGAGGGCCCCAAAGGGGCCCTCGATAATTGAAAAATACTTAGAATTATTACATAGAAAATTAGAAACTAATATAGGTAATAAAGGGTGTCTATGAATAAAATATAATTTAGATATTACAAAATGTAGAGGACAGGGCTACGACGGAGCCTCAGTTATGAGCGGTGCTAAATCAGGGGTACAAAAAAGGATTTCTGATGTAGTCCCTAGTTCCTTATATGCACATTGTACGGCTCATAACTTAAATCTAGTAATTGCTGATGTTGCCAAAAGTTCATTAAAAATTTCTACATTTTTTGATATAGTTCAAAATATATATTTGTTTTTCAGCCAAAGTGCACCTAGATGGGCATCATTAGCATTTGGTAATGATATAGCAAATCAAATACAAAAAAAAGTTTTGAAAAAAGTGTGTAATACAAAATGGGAAGCTAGACATTCATCTGTATATGCATTAAAAGAAAATTTTATTAATGTATTGAAATCTTTGACAAATATTTCACTAACCAGCAAAAAAAGTGATGAATTAAATAGAGCAAAATCTCTTTTAAAAAAAATGCAATTTTTTTAGTTTGTTTTGCTTATAATTATTTGGGAAAATGTTTTGAAACCATTATCTGTGGTATCCAAGATGTTACAGTGCTCACAAACCAGTATCCATCAAGCCAGTGAGTTTTTGCAAATTGGTATTAATTCAATTAAAAATATGAGACATAATTATAAAGAACTGGTAGAATCAGCAAAAAATATGTGTTTAAAATGGGGAATACAATTTCAGAATGAAAATAAACGAAAAATTTATTCTAAAAAACTATTTGGTGAAGTTGATGGAGACAGGGATTGGATATTACACAGGAAAAATTTTATGTTTCAGTATTTTTACCATTAGTTGATACTGCTTTATTTCAACTCGAAGATCGTTTTAAAGGACTTAAAATAGTATCAAATACTTTTAATTTTTTATTGCCACCAAATATAATAAAATTAAATGAAGCAGAAATAGTAAAATCATGCTATGATTTTATTCAGTTTTACAAAACTGACGTAACTTCCGATTTAACTAGTCAAGTTCTATCTTTAAAGGAGTTTATAAAAAACACTGATATGAAAACAATTAAAGAATTATGTTTATATTTAATAGAAAACGACCTATCATCTTTGTATAGTGAAGTTGTTACATCTTGTATTATATTTTTAAGTTTACCTGCAGTGACTGTTGCAACGGCCGAACGATCATTTTCTAAACTTAAATTGATTAAAAACTATTTAAGAAACTCGATATCTCAAGACCAATTAACCAACATAAGTATCTTAAATATAGAAAGAGCTCGCACTGAAGAACTTGATGTAGAAAAATTAATTTTAGACTTTGCCAATCAAAAAAGCAGAAAAAAAAATTTTTTAAAGTAATTTTAATATTATAAATATGTAATTTTTTATAATTTTAAATGTATTTACTATTTTGTATAATAGTGTAAATAAGCGCAAATATATGTATTATGTATAATATGTAAACATATGAAAAACATAAATATTTAATTTTTTTATTATAATTTTAAACGTACCTATATCAACCATTTTTATCTAGTGTAAATTTGTATTTTTTTAGTTAAAAAGAAATTTAAATGGTGATGGATACTTAACGTTTATAAATATATTTTTCATGAAAATATTTCGTAAAATTTTGGAAAGTAAGGGGCCCTATTATTTGGTTTGGCACCCCGGCCCTAATAACCTTAGTTGCGGCACTGAATTGAACTAACATTTACGTCTAATTGAGGTTAATTAATTTCTCAAAATTAAATTTAAATGACTTAATAATATCTGCAAACCTACGGATACAAAAATAATAAATAAAATTTCATAATAATTCATAAAATTCTAGTATGGTTGGTGAAAAATTCAATAATTTTAATCGAAACTTTGACTGGTTGCTATTTAGTCAATTTTGATTTTAGAGCTATGGTAAAAAGGACCAAATCGACTTAAAAAAATTCGGTATATCCGAATTTGGTATTCAAAACACCTGTTACCATTTGAAAAAATGCAAGTTGTATTGCGCATGCGCTCACGGAAAGATCTAAAAATGTAAAAATCATTAAGAAATGTGTATTTATGTATCCCCTATCCCCTCCTGAAAACCAAATATTAATCCGATGTCACTGGACTGAATTATTTAGTGTTACCTTTAAAAGGAAACACACTGTAGTATAGAGCACAGTCGTCGTGGTCCTCGATTCCCCTATACCTTTCAAGCTACACCAGTGGCGCCGAACCCAATATTGAGGTCTTGGCCCGACATCTTTTGAAGATTTAGCATGGGGCCGTTTTCAGAAACAAACAAAATCGTCTCTAATCCGTCTTAGTTGGTGGGGATTACAAAAAAGTGTGATTTAAATTTTCTTTTAAAACTGAACATCAATAATTTTTAGGTAAAAACTAATACCTCCTCGGTCCTACACCCTTTCATGTACGCCATTGGGGCTAATATTTAAATATTGGGGCCGTTTCAAATATTTTTTGCCCGACTAAATTTTTAGGACTTCGGCGCCACTGCGCTACCCAGACTTAATCCCATGCGGTAAATCCTCCGCTGCCGTGGAGCGGGCAACCAACGATTTTGATTTTTTTGCTCCCGGTTAATAATAATTTGTATACGTGGGCCCGAGCTTTAATCGTTCACTGCTGCTGTCACCGAATGGTTATAGTCGGTTACGTTAGTTAAACCGGAAGTACAACAGGAAACACGCCGTTTGTACGGTACATTATATTATTATAATACATTATACGGTATCGTCTATAATGTGTACACAATATACTTCGCAGTGTCGTCGGTTTCGATTTTGCCCTTCCCCCCTGTACTTCTGGTTTTACGACTTTCGTGACAGGCTCTCAACGAGATTACGAATTTATATTATTTATAGTATAATTTTGTTTTTTAAGAGGTATTTACTTATTTTTTTTTGCGTGCGAGTATGGGTGGGTGATATCGACCGGACGTTTCACCGCTCAATAATCATATTATATATATACCTAATAATATATTATCCAAACTACAATATTATTACTCATTTATGGCGAAATCGAACCGTTAATTTAAAGGCTGTGTGTTCACACGGTATGTCTGTATACATAGCCAATCTATAATGATATACAAAACTTTAAAATGTATAATATAAACTTATAAAAATAACCTTATTATAAGTTATATCATATGTCTTTAAATATTTATAAGACCAAGTGGTTATTTTAAAATGTGAAAGCAGGTAAAATTGGCTTTCGGAAATAACATATCTATTTTATTTTACCTAAAATAAACGGTACCCAAACTAAGTAATATTTTTTGACGTGAGTGGGTAATGAAACTGTATACGATATATCATATCAACCGACTGACGATTACATCGAACTATAATATTAGTAATATATATAATATATAATATTATTATGTATTATTTATGTAACACAAGTATAGCAAAAAGATTTTTAGTTAGATTCTCGGAATTAATTTATTGACACAAGCAATTATAGGGATTTTAATTGTAATTCAATTTTTTTGTCATATACGTTTAACGTGTGTTACATGAGGATAGATTAGATAAAATTAGGGTTCACCCGTTAATGCTTATAGTTGCAGTGGTTAAAGAACACGTTTATAATAAAGTTCTTGTGGAGAATCGAAGTGTATACATAAAGTAAATATTAGACAGGTAGACAACGAACGTTTATTATTACTATTATTATTTTTACAATTTCAATATTTCACAATATAATTTCATTACAAATGATCGACTGACATGTTATAGAAAGTATAAAATCCCCAATGTAAGTTGGCGGTGCTAATAGGTTAACCACTTCTGACTTTAAACAAACGACTTCTCTAGGCTTCTTGACCAAATAGCAGAACTTACAGAACGACCCTAGAATCCACAACGATATTGATTGTAGTTCATGACACAAGTGGCTAGAGAGTAAATAATAATAACTAATCAATAGTATTTTCATTACCCAATACCTACACATAAAAATAAAATTATAAAACAACAGGTGGTTTTTACCTATAATATGCATATTATATACGTCGGTTTATAATACAAGATCTGTCTGTACCAACCAATATTACAAGATAAACACAACATTTTTGGATAAATTGCTGGGACCTGATTTGAACAAATATTATTAGGTGCTTACATGTTATTTCCCTCATTATACTTAAACACACTAACATAAAAAAGTTGTAAACCTATAATATTTCGATCTCTCAGTGTGACAGCGTATAACACCGTATTGCTTAGGCAGTTGGCATGTACCTAAAAGAATTATCTACTATTTTGTCAATTTTAAGACATTATAATTTATGCTTGGTCGCTCCTGAATCATATTTTATACTTTGTATAATTAGATCATCATAAATCATAGTTAATAATACATTATATTGTATATTTAAATACCTATATTATTAAATGTACCTATGTTTATTACAAATATTGAGGTATATAACTGGTAGAATGCAGGTTGTTGATACAATAATTAATAATAATACATAATAATATAATTTAATAAATACGTACAAAATATATTGTTTAATTATTAATATACCATTTATTAAATGCAGTGTGTGTTATGCCGGTCATTCGGAACGCGTGCATAATATGTGCCGGTCACACTTTCGCAACAAATAGCAATAATAACTATTGTTATAATTATTATATTACCTAAAAAACATTTGATGTTTGTCAGAATACCAAAAACGTTCACACCGGCCGTGCCGCGAATCAAAATACAAATGATACAGTGACTTGCCCTTTGCGGTACTGCCCATTACAATTTACAGCAAATTATTATTTCTAAACAACGGTAGTTGAGATATCAGCTGTTTCTACACTAAGAATTTGTGTATTTTATATATAGGGGACTGTGCATCCTACCTTGACACATTGTAACGCACATATCTAATTCTCCAAAAACAGAAGTCAATATATTATGTCGGAATTAGTATTTTATAATAGTATTTTACATCAATGAATAATGCTATTTGATAACAAAATAATTAAGTGATAATTAAATATTATAAATTAAAAGCATACTTACTGAAAAAAATAATTTTTATATAATATGTCAGTGGTCCAACCTGGTTGCGTTTTTTCAACATTATTATTTCTGACTGGTCCAAATGTGCATTGCCCGTTATATGCAATAATGCATATCGGCAACTGACTAATAACAATAGTTAGGTATATCTATTCACCCGTGGCATAATATAATTTCAAATTTTAGTATATTATCGTCAAAAGGGGGATTTTTTTTTTTAATCAGTTCATAAACGTGTCTGCACCACATCCCCACAAAAAAAAAAAAATCAACTCAACTACCAAAGAGACGCTGATTTATATATACACAAATAAAAAAAAGCCTCCCCCTACACGATACCTAACCAAAAACGTTATTAATTCATTTATTACATATTACATCAGGCGATGGCAGGACGGGCTTTTATATATTATACGTTCTTATATAATAGGTTAATAGGTGCATCACATGCATGTATAAACATTTATGCTATTTGGTTATATTATATTATATTGTTATGTTATATATTATATATTTAATATGTATGTTTATCCCTCTTCCTTCCGATGTATAATATTATGTGAAGATGATAACAATAATAATCTAACCGTATGCCTATATGATACCGACTGATGGACCGAATATTATTGTTTTTTATATTGTATGGTAGTTTTTATATACAAATATTATATACGTACTATAATACTATATGCCCATATTATATTATACTCTAGGGTTCGCGTGTTTTCCACCCACAACCGTGAACCGTGTAATGGAGCTCTTTTTTTATTTTTTTTTTATCTTTTCGAGCGACGAGAGACGCGTATGCTTGCAATGCTAATATAGAGGGTCGGCAAGCGAGTGAAGGGATAATGACGCCGCTGTGATTTTACCAAAACATTAAAAAGAAATAGAAAATAAAGACGAAGAATCCGTAAAAAAAACCGGTGGTACCGGACCACTGCGCAGCGGATGCTCACCCGCGCACAGATACTCCAGGGTCACGTGCGCGAGCTGATGCCGACGTTTCAGTACGAGGAGTTCTTGAAACGGCCCGACGAGCACGTGACCAAGATGTTGCTGGCCAAGAAGACGGGAAAAGGACTAGAACCGGATACAGGGCCTTCAACGAACGGGGATGGCGATGCAACAGAAGAAATTGATGTGCTCGCTCCAGTGGTTGCGGTCCGAAGTGGAGAGAGCTGATTGTGAGAACGTTACGCTCGTCTAACGGTATGACGCCGTCGTGGCGGCCATCGTGGTGGCCAGCAATAAAAAGATCGCCAACGAGTGCCGGGCGAAAGCTCGAAGTACAAACCGAAATGAGCGAGGTCCGAAAAAAGTCCGCAAAGCAAGAGGCGTTGATTGACTGCTACATTGGAAAAATTAGTTTGTAAGAGTGATTAATTCAGTATAAACAAGTACCGGAAATTCGGCATCAAGTCCTTGAGTATCTGCACTAGGGTGAACATGTGTTGCGGGGCATTTGTCCGGTACTGGAGCAATAACTGGGCAACCAGTTTTTATTTGGCGAATGAGTTGCAAAGCTTTTGCGTCGGTTCGTCGAACGCAGTCCCATCACGTCCATCCCGTTACTTGTGCCAATATAAATTATATTATATTATAATAATATTATAGTTATAAAAAAATACATTTTAACTAAAAATTAATCTACACATGATGTGCATTCAATTAAACATATTAAAACGGAATGGAATGCCGGAATGATAGAGGAAAATCATAATAAGATAAACCTTAACATGTTAATAAAGATTAGCACATTTTCCCAGTATCACTTTATAATAAATAGGTACACTAATATAAAACTGAAGACTGAAAAAAAAATGTTTTCGTGGCAGGTATATTAACGAAAATACGTGTAGACGTTTTGTTGGGACCTGCTGTATTTTCATACACTGAAGTAGTCTGTTTTGTTTTAGTGTTTTTTCTTGTTATTCCATTTCAATCCCTAAGACGGAAGGGTGTGTAACGATCTTGGTGCTTGGTACCTACTATCGTAGTGCTAATAGTAGATAAGTGGCTACCAATACAATACGTTAATGTACAGGTCGCAGACACTCCTTCCGATGTTGTAGTCGTGGTTGTTAAATAAATAAGAGAACAGTTGTTGTATAATATAATATTGTGAGTTTTATTATTGTACTTCGATAATTTTACTAAGTCCAAAATAATATTGTACAGAGTGACGTGAACTTGCTTGTACTAATGGGTGGTAGTAAAACTGAAAACAGGCCTATTCGGGCTCCCTTATATATGAAGTTCCCCGTGCCCCTTGCCTACAGATACGGTATCTTCGTTCTCACGGATGTCGTTTGTGTGGTCATCATTCTAGCCCACGCATTTACGATTGAATGTATTACTAGTTTATGATTGTGTCCATTATTCCTGTCAAATATGACAACCGCCTATTGTTGAAGCCTATTGTTCTTAATATCTGGTTATGCCGACCTATTATATATTATAATGACTATACAGTATGCACTCGTGATTTATGATTTATTGTCACGTAGTAACTTACTTACTGCAGGTGAATAGTTGCGTTAGAGAGAGTATTTCGAACTATACACAATTTGCATACAAATATGTTAGTAGCATGCACGATTTAAGATAGTACATGTCAGAATGATTATTGATTCCCTTGTCAATCTTGTATAATTGAGAAAATTATAAAACAAACTTATATTACGAACTTACAATATACCTAATTGAAATTTTCAACGATTTTTATTATTAGATACTTTTGATGAATATAATGCCCGTCAAGATGAAATATTACAATTCGTTACAATTGTATAATATGAAAGTAACCGAATTTCATGTCGTAAACAATATCGTTGCAATAATATTATGACATACGTACGCCGTATTAATTGTGTTTTTTTTTTTTTTAATAATATGTTTTTCATTTATACCAATACCATTGACACGAAATAAGCAAATATATTGTGTGTGTGTGGTAATGGTACGTTACGGTCCGCACACAACTAAATGTATATAATGTCTATTGTTATTTGTTTGGTGTTTTTGCCTTTTTGCGGGGTTAAATGCATATGTTTCTTGTTCGACACACTAAAATATACACGAATCATACAGACTGAATATTGTGTATTCCACTTATTATTTATGAGTATACTAGTACAATATATAATATTATAGACTCTATATAGCATAATAATATATATTTTAGGTAGGTATAGGCAGCTATAGCTGGTACATATTATATTATTCGTTCACGTCCGCCCCAGCCGCCAAAACGATAATAATAATTGCAGTCTACCGGTTAGAGTGGAACGTATCATTTCGTCGTACTGCGGGAGTCTAATATATTATATTTTAAATTATATTATGCACAGACGGCTAGTTTATGTACATATATATAGGTATATATAGGGATACCACGAATACACACCGAATCGTTTGTATATTATGTACAATATACTTGCCATAATGCTATCCGTCCCAGAGTAAGGATGCAAGTTATGACATTTGAACTGTGAAGTAGAAATGCTTATTATAAGCTATTGCTTATCTTTCAGCAATCATGTTGACTATATTCGAAATAAATCATATAATATGAAGTTGGGATTATTAAAACGTATGTGTAGTGATTTCAACGATAGTTCAGCTTTAAAAATATTATATTATTCCTTAGTACGCTCCCATATTGACTATGCCTCTTTAATTTGGCACTCTGATAGCATTTGTCAAAACCAGAGTCTATCTAGTATACAAAATAATTTTTTGAGATATTTATCTTTTAAATGTCACTTTGAAAGACGTCCTCATTCTGGGTATATTAATATTAGTATTTTTTTTTTAATATTGCTCCTTTAAATAGTATATTTAAAATGTTAAATTTAAAATTTCTTTTTAAACTATTACATAATTTAATTGATTGCCCAGAACTTTTAGAGCGTATTAATTTCAATGTAAATATAAAAAATTCAAGAAATAAACATCCTTTTTATTTATCTATTATTAAAACTAACTACATGTTATACTACCCTACTATTATATTAATGTCATGTGGTAACTTTTTTAACAACTTGGACCTGTTCAATAAGACTCTTCGCTCTTTAAATTGTCATTTTTAGATTATTACCTACTATTATATTAATTTTAATCGAATTGTTATATAATCAATTGTCTAACTTTTAATTTCTATATAAATACATATTATATTCTTTCTTTTTTCTCTCGTTCTTATATCATTTGTTTAAATTTTTAGTGTAACACACATCTATGAAACTGTCATTATTTTTATTATTGTAAATTGGAATTTAATTCCGTTCATAAAATTATTATTATTATTATTAATATGTAACACAATGCAATCGTCGCAGGGGGAGGAAGGTTGTTTGTCGTGAGCCACTGGCGTCTACGGTTTTAGAAAATATGACCTGCGTAATAATGATATGTAGATGACAGCTGCTAGATACATATATATATATATATCAGAGTGTCGCAAGATGTATTATAGTCTGGGCAGTTTGTTGCCTATTGTGTCCTCTTGCAGTTGTATGATCGGATTTTCTCTGACAGAATATTTTAACCGAGTTCTCGACCACTTTTTATCGAGTGTCACGATAGCTCACAGCCCTTACGAATAGGTAGGTACAACGTCCATACTCGACCTCCAACATGGACATTGACAATCCAATTTAGAAATCAGTATAATATAAATTCATACATTAACAAGACGTAACAACTGATCGGTACATATCAAAATACTAGAAAACGTGTGTGCGCCGTGCCGCTCCTACTTTTAAAAATCGCGGTTAGCGACAACGACTCGCGCAATGCTGTGGACGGGAAGGAGCAAACTCACAATATACTATCTCGTACAAATATTGTTACGAATTTAATGCGAAATGACGCGATATATATTTTTATAATAACTCTAAAGGTATATACAAAACATGAATATAAATAAATGTAGGCGCCGTGGGCCGGTAACCACGCGCTACAACCAATAACAATAAGTGATAAATAATTACAATAATTATAATAAATATGAATAATACATAAGTAGACAAACAAAAGAAATAATATGACCTGATCGACCTCCGGCGTTGGTCACTGGACAGCACGCGGTCCTCGCTGGAAATGCGACAGCGTCTTGATGTATAATATATAATTCGACGTATAATTTAATTCGGTGGTGGGCCGCGACACTGATCCGTCAAACCCCGACTGTCTCAGCGTTTACGACGGTATCGATGTGCACCAAGTATAATAATCAAAAAAAAACAATACTGCATCAATGTCAGCTGACCACGAGGTCAAAAACAGCCACACGATGCGAAGCGAACCGGCGGTACCTACGTGACCCGCCAAGTTCAAGCGTAGGCAAAAGAAAAACAGACAGAGTCCCCGGCACGGGGGCCGTGGACGGTGGACGCCAGCCGGCGTGTGGACACCGTGGAGGGGGAACGACTCTTCGCGAACATTCCGCGCCGGCCACGAGACTTGTAAAGCCTTTGGACTTTGGTAGATTCGGCGGGAAGTTCAGCCGCGTTCGAACAACGTGTTTAAAATGACATAACAATTACATTTTGAAATTTAAACATTACAAAATGTATCATCATCACTCACCTAAAAATATAAAATATATTAAAAGTTTGGCTGGTCGAAAAATCACAACTCACAAGACCGCATTATTAAAATAAACATTAAAAAGTTCTTTCCTCTCTGTAAATAAACGCATAGACAACCCGACCTACCTACTAAAGTTGTGCCATATATATGTTACGGTCAAAAGCCGAAATCGGCCAAACCTCAGAAATGCCCTGGCAAAACGCGAACTGCCCACAATCCTTGGGCAAAATGTCATATTTCGGCTTTTGACCGGGAAAACATAGTTATGACCAACCTCATTTGGGCAAAACCGTATACTGACTTTTATCGTAATGGCAAAACCGTAGTGTCAATAGTACAGTTATACAAATATAATTGAATAAAACTTAATTAATACATTTAAACCTCACTTGAGCCAAACTGTAGAGTTTATAATAACCACATAAAAAAAAATAATAATCTTAAAATATTGTACAGATATAATTGAATACACTTAAATAATAATTCGCCCTCCTGTATTCACTGGTTGTTTTCTTGGAATTGACCTTCACTCTTGTTCTACCTCTTTTATGAGTTCATCATATCTTGTATCACTTATTAGAGCACTG